AACTGTTCTGTGATTCCATGATTGACACTTTATCATCACCATCATTGTAGTAGCCCTTCTGTTCATAATCAAGTACATTATTCTCAAAGGCAAATGACTAATATGGGGTTCCCAGTGAAGTTCTGTTGGAGCCTGTCTGATGAGGTTAATTATTTGTCTCTCTCCCTTAATAAGAAGAATTCCTTTTGAGTAGTCTAGATCTGATGACTAAATGAGGGCAATCGTGTTGTCAATGTGTGACTCCTCTTTATATTCAATTACATTCCACCATTTTCCCCAGTCTTCAGGGTAAACCATTCTGGATGCTTTTTAACATATGTATCTATATTCTTCTGACCTTTTTTGCTGGCAGATCTCACTGACACACTCATACTCCTTACCCAGATGATGAACTGAAGTATTGTGAAAGGACAGGTCCAGAACTGATCCTTGATGATTTTTACTCATAACTCCCTTCCCATTAACAACTTCCATTCAGCACAGCCTCTTTTAACCTAACTTTCAGACAGCCCTTACGTACTTCACAATTCTTGTGTTAATTACTATCATTTGCAGTTTATGTTTTATGTTTCTGTGTGGCTGTTTCACGTGTTCACTGAAATTTGTGTCCTCTTATGGGTGAAATGAAGAGAAGGTTGTTTGCTTTTGACAGGATAAACTCATTGGAGTTAACCTATTCTTGTAGAGAAAGACTAGTTCAGTGTAGCACATCTTGCCTTTGTAGTTCAGAGGGAACTCTTCTTAGCCGTAAGGGGTTTGGTGATCTCTTTAGAAATCAGGTGGAGCTGTATGTCAAACTGAGCTCTCCTACAGTAACCCTGTAACTTATGTTGAGATGATGATGATGATAGGCAAGGTGAATGCAGGGCACTGCTGTAACTAGAGGACACTTGATCTGGAGCAGATGAAAGAGTACGAAATGGTGTTAGCTTCATGGATAATGGGCCAATATATGTACATTAAAGAGAATCATAGTAATAGCTGTACTCTAGTGGTTGCAAATGCTTGGGAGCTACAAAAAATGATCAGGCTCATATTTCCCGTAAACGCCAGCTTTTTTGTGTTGCCAGTTGGAGACAGAATTTTGCACTAGGTGGACCATGGATCTAACCTAGTCAGGTATTTCTTTCATTCTTAATTTTACTTGCACATTTCTCAAATTACAGGACATGAATAATGTGCTTAAATAGTAAATAAATCATAGTATGTTTATGAATAAATAATAGTAAGTTTTTCTTACAAGCACCTTCATATCTATTGTAAAGAAATGAAATTATTTGTTATTTAAATTTTCCAAAGTGGGGAAGAGGACATAGACAAGGAATTTTGATTGATTGTTAGTAACAAAGAAATTGAAATGGGGACTCCTGCCTGTCATTTCATAAATTTCTCTTCTGTATTGCACTGTCTCCTTTCTTTTAGCTCTGCATTTTCATTTACTAAGATTATGCTGATCCTTTACTTTTGTGGTCGACACTATGTAAAGGTAGCATTGGTATGTCCATGGGCTTAAGAGCCCTGAAGGACATGTGTGTTTGTGTATACACACGCAGAGTCAAGTATGTATATTGTTATTGAATTTGACTCTTTGGTTTATAATTTTATGTTGTGTGCTCATTGGAATACCAGATATTTTAAACCAGTTTTTTACGTTTTCGTTATAGAAGGAGAAGTGTATACATGGGGTCATAATGCTTATAGTCAGCTGGGCAATGGTACAACCAATCACGGTTTCGTTCCCTGTCAAGTCTCTACTAACTTGGTGAACAAGAAAGTCATTGAAGTTGCCTGTGGCTCTCATCATTCTATGGTGTTAACATCTGATGGAGAGGTGAGACCAGCTGGAATAAACCCCTCTTTTCTCTTAATGAAATCCATGTATGTGAGAAATAGGAAAACATTCTACACCTCGAGCATTAGACCTTGCTTCTTGCTATCCTCACAGTGATAGTGATGCAACACAAATACTTGATAAAAATGGAAAACCTGTTGGGGTCTACCTGCTTTGGAGTACATGCAGAACATTGATCTTTGTGCCACAAAAGCTTGTAATAGGAGATTATGATTTCTTTGTAGAGGGCAGCCAGTTGCTTCCTATGCTATGCTCTACTGTAGATGCTGAATGGAGTTAAAGCCATTAAGCCCCAGTTTCTTCTGGCTTTTATTTTGGGGTGCCATTTGTGTCCAGTCAGCCATTCTGCTCTGGGCTCTGGAAAACTAGCAATGAATTCTTCCAGCATTAATGCAACTGTCATGTTGCCTCTTACCTTTGATTGGAGGAACATAAGAGAATGGACTATTACAAAGTATTACGAATGGCCTATTTTTGATAGAAACAATTAAATTGTAAACCTATGTATCTTCCTAGCTCTTTAAAACAATACATCCCCCTGAAATCAAAATGTATTTTTTCATGTGTGTAACTTTTTCCTCTTTTGAATATGGACTTTGAAGTGCACGTTACATAGCCACCTTCTATGACAATTGTCTTACAACAGGTGTACACGTGGGGTTATAATAACTCAGGCCAAGTTGGATCTGGTTCAACAGCTAATCAACCAATCCCTCGAAGAGTTACCAGCTGCCTACAAAATAAAATAGTAGTTAATATAGCTTGTGGACAGATGTGCTCTATGGCTGTGGTGGAAAGCGGAGAGGTAAGAAATTTTAAGTGAATTTTCTGACTGAACTTTGTTTTATGTAATATCATGGGATGTAGATAATTTCAAACTTGTCAGCAGTGAGCTGCTACTCAGAAAAGAAGTATACCCTTCCAGACTCCCTCACATCTACCTGCATATACTGCTTGTAAAAACCTTTGTCAAAAATTGTCCTGCACATTCTGACATACTTAAGCACATCTTCCTATCTGTGCTGATTATGGTTTCTTCTTTAGAAAGGAGGTAGAGCTTAACAGGGAAAATGGTACACTGACATTTTGTTTATGGATTTTTGACTTATGAGATTATTTGTAAAATTTAGCAGCTGTTACTTTGGATCAGCTATAGAAGTTGGCTCTGAGTTGAAGGAATTCAGGTATCAAATTTCAAATTTACTTGAAAACACAATTCTGAAGTAAAAATAGCATTGTGAAGGTCAGGAGAGTTTTACACATTTGGGGATTAAATCATGTCAGATCTATGTATGTATACTTAGCACTTCATGCTAGCTTCATTTTCTTGTTTGTAAAAATAACTAAGTTTGTATCACTGGTTTGCTGATTTTTAGAACTGATTTTTAGAACTATATTCTACCAGAAATTAAAATGCTGTTTAGTACTTTATCCCAATGCTGTCTTTAGAGTTCATAGAAAAATAATTTTCTGTACTATAATCTTAAGTATCAAGAATGTGAGAAGAATCAACGAATGCTATTTTAAATCTCAGTGCTCATGTGTGCGCACTCAGTCTCAAGAGAAAACAGAGAAAATTGCATGTATCTGTTCCACTGCAGCACCTCTTGAATCCCTCTCATACTTCCTTATCCTCATTGCAAAGATACTGATTGTTTTAGTTCATATGAGATTCATAAAGATTGTTTTAGTTCATATGAGCTGAAGACTTTGGGCAGCCTATATCCTCTTTAGCTCCATCGCCCCAAGCATCTCAGTTTAGACCTAAGTAGTTATTGACTGTTTGCAGTAGAACATATGTCACTGAAATTATCAGAGCTCAGGATTTTCCCTTTTTCTTATGTTCAGCATCAAGCTGTTAATGGCCCACTCCAGCTGTTGTGCATAGCTTCCAGTTTATATTTGGTTTAATGTGTTTTCTCTTAGAGAATTTTTGAATGAAGATTAGCTCTTTGAAAAGGGTAAGGATTCATGCTGAATTTGCTGTGTGCTGGGAAACAGCCTTATAAATCACTTACTACCTACTCTTTGTATTAAAATATTGTAGTCTTACATAATCTAACTCTTAAAGAGCAACATGAATATGGAGGTTTAGAATTTTAGATGAGCATGCAGATGTATTTTAAACAGAAGCAGCATCTAAAATTTGTGGTGCAGAAAAAAACATACAGGTGTGTGTATGAATATATGTATATATGTGTGTGTATCTACGTATAAAATACAGATCGTAAGGTGTGGGGACAGGAAGTACTGGAGAAAATTATTATTGTAACTCTGAAGTAGTTATGTTGCTTTCAAAAGAAGTAGGGAGTAGGAAGGAGTTAAAATCCCTGTCTCTGTTTTTAAGGTCTATGTCTGGGGTTATAATGGCAACGGCCAGCTTGGACTGGGCAGCAGCGGCAATCAGCCAACACCGTGCCGAATAGCAGCTTTGCAAGGCATTCGTGTACAGCGGGTATGTGTGTGATGCTCCGTGTCAGACCCTTCAGGAACACCTGCAAATATGCTAAGGCATATTCTCCCGTTAGAACAGATAATCTTTTATCTCTGTTTAGAGTGCCATTTATCAGAATAAAAACACGTATCTTAAAACGGACCTCTGTCAGTAACGGAGAAACTGTGACGCTGTGGAATTCAGTGGGAATTTTGACATGACTTCAGTGAGGTCAGGATTGTACTGAAATAGGACTAGAGCATTAGAAATGTTTGGACTTTTTTTTTATTTTCTGTGAAAATTAAATAAAACACGCTTATTTTAGTAAATCACAGAATCATTTAGGTTGGAGAAGACCTTTAAGATCATCAAGTCCACCACTAAACCATGTCCCGAAGCACCTCATCCACATGTCTTTAAATCCCTCCAGGGATGATGACTCCACCACCTCCCTGGGCAGCCCGTTCCAGTGCCTGACAACGCTTTCAGTGAAGAAATTTTTCTAACATCCAATCTAAACCTCCACAGGCACAACTTGAGGCCATTTCCTCTTGTCCTGTCGCTTGTCACTTGGGAGAAGAGCCCAACACCTGCCTCTCTGCACATTCCTTTCAGGTGGCTCTAGAGAGCAATCAGGTCTCCCCTGAGCCATCTCTTCTCCAGGCTAAACAACTCCAGGTCCCTCAGTTGCCTCTCATGAGACTTGTGCTCCAGACCTTTCACCAGCTCCATTGCCCTGTTTTTTTAAAGTAAACTCATTTAATTACATAGTTTTATATACAGCATTCTAGGATATATACAGTAGCTTAGCTGGTAACAACTGGTGTTGGAGAATAATGTAATTAAGTGAATATTGTTTTCCACTGTATTTATTCTCCTGTTTAGAGTATGAGTCCTCCAGTAAGTTTGACTTAGATACTATTTCCATCCACTTAATTTGCCTGATATTGATTAATACCAAGTGGTAGACCTCCAGTCAGTAAATTACTTAAGGATTTATTACATGGAAAGCACACCACATGCTTCATAGATGTCAGTGTACATGCACTTAGAGTATATCTGCTTTGCAGATGATATAAAGATAACTGAGCTAGATCTGAACAGTGTAAATCAGTTATTGATAGCCATCTAGCTGTAATAGGTTATGTGAACTCATGCAAGACTGTGGCTGGTAGTTTTGCCACTGTGTATCTGCATGTGGGGCATGTGCTGCATATGGAGGGGGACTTTAATGGGTTTAAACTGAAAGATTGAGTATCAGAAAGAAATTCTTCCCAGAGAGGGTGGTGAGGCCCTGGAACAGGTTGCCCAGAGAAGGGGTGGATGCCCCATCCCTGGGAGTGTTCAAGGCCAGGCTGGATGAGGCTTTGAGCAACCTGGTCTAGTGGAAGGTGTCCCTGCCCATGGCAGGGGGGTTGGAACTAGATGGTCTTTAAGGTCCCTTCCAACCCAAACCACTCTGTGGTTCTGTGATACATAGATTACAAAGTGGATATTCAAAGCAACCTTCTGCGGGGTGCCTGAGGAGGCAGCTCTGCAGGGCTCAGTGCATTTCCACAAGAGGGTCTGAGCTGACATGGTTGTGTGCTGCCATCAAGATGCACACTTCATCTCTTCCCTCTCTTTCCTGACTGCGTGCTCCTGTTGCTTACCTTGTGTGGGCACTGGTAGTCCTCAGGCCCACCCGCGAAGAGTTTCCTTCCAGTGATGTAAGTTGTCTCAGCAGAGGGTTTGGTGGGCACAGGGAGGGGGCAGCCTTGTGTGCCTGGCAGTCGGGGAGGAGAGGAGCAGACCTTGCCTGTTTGTAGTGGTTAGCTGTTCATGTTGGAGCAGTTGTCCAAAGAACAAGGTCAGTGCAAGACTTGATCTGCCTTTTTCTGCATACTGTTCGTAGTTGTCATACAGCTTTCCTTTTGTCTCAATTTCTAGCTATTCTTTTGCTGTACTCTTGGGATTATCTGGCAGGGTTCCTCACTGGTAGACCGTTTACCTCTCAGTCACCTCATCTACTTAGCTTCCCTTTTTAATAAACTTACCTGTATTTGTAATTTTTGTTATTTTTACACTGGTATAGATTCAGTAACATGTATAGCATGTCTGTATATCTGTCTGTATCAACTTAATGTAACATAAAAATGAGATATTTTTCTTTTTATTATTTCTTATAGGTTGCCTGTGGCTATGCACATACATTAGTGCTGACAGATGAAGGTCAGATTTATGCCTGGGGAGCCAATTCATATGGCCAGTTAGGTACTGGGAATAAAAGTAACCAGTCTTACCCTACAACAGTTATTGTGGATAAGGACAGGTAATACCTACAGTCTAGCAGTCAGACATCACTTGGCATACTCTCAGAAAAGCTATGGAAAATCATGGCATTTTAAATCTATTTTTGGGAAGAAATAGCCTATAATTTTTTGCAGTGGTTCTTCTGCTAAATCTGAACAGATTGAAAATTTGTCTGATATACAAAATCAGTGCATTAAAGTTTGATTTTCACTGAAAGTGCTTGAATCTGCCCCCAAACCATCCTTGTGAAAGAGAAGCTGAATGTTCTGAGCCTGAATGTGCTATTTTCTGCTTTGGCTCACACTATACTTTTTAGGCCTTAATTGCAGTTTTTCTTCCCTGGCGTAGTGTCATTGTTTGAAGTCAACGATAAAAGCTCTGTGGTCTCCGAATACAAACTGTGTTTTAATATGCTACTTCTGACAAGAAGTACCCAAGAAAATGTGAAGAGTGGACATCTGCAATTGGTGTTATTTCTGCTATTAAATCTGGCTCCAAGAGAGAAAGGGAGGAGTTCTTTCTTGGTGTTATTGCCTGAAAATTAAGCTTAGATTTTTGCAAGTTAAAATATTTTCCTGTAAGGCCTTGATGGGTAGTGGGGCAGTTATTTCTGCTGCTCATGTAAAGCCATTTATACGTGTGGCTAGAAATTTGAATCTATTCTTTCCTACTGAGGTCCTGATTTTGGTCTCCTGTTGTGAAAAACAAGTGAGATGTACCTCTTAAACCTGTGTCTGTGTATATTATTGTAAGGAAGAGAAAACTCTAGCGATGCGGCTTGGCCTGGTGTTGAACGCTGCTGTTTGTGCTGTTGCTTAAAATGTAACTGAATTTTTTTTCCAGACACTTTGTCTGCAGTTAAAATGTTACTATATTTTAATACAAATGTTAATGTTGTAGGCTGCCTTTCCCTTTTGTTGGCCAGAACATGCATTCGTAGTGTCAGTGCAACAGTTACCTCACTAAAGGTGCAAACTTTCTATGTACAGCTTTAAACATATTGTTTCCCAGGCAGCTGTGAAGTCAAGTAAACAAGCAGTAGTTTAGACTGCAGAAAGGTGGATTGTGTAATATTGTACACAGTGGGAGTTTTGAAATCCTAAATCAACTTTAGCACTAGTGAGATAGCCTAGCATAGCTAAAACGCACTTAGAAACAGCCGTTAGTGCTGTTGGTTTTTAATTTTCAAAATGAAAGTCTGTTAAACATAAGTAATAATAATTGTATGAGTAATGAGACTTTGGTATTTTAATTAAAAGAAGTAAGTTTAAATTGCTGGTTTATGACCGTTACCTATAAGCAAGCAGGGAAAAGGAGTTTTTATGCTTTTTTAAAATGTGTTTTGAAACGCCTCCTCATTTCTCTCTTCATCTTCTCCAAGTGCACCTTCTCTACAGCTTAATGCAGCCACTCACCTTGCTGCCCCGCAGCACCGAGGACAGTCAGGGACTTGAAACTCCTCATGGCTTGCTCCGAGGGGGTCGGTAGAACACGTGCTGCAGCAGATGCACTGCTCTGCTGCAGGTGTCTCCTCACTCCCAAGATGCTTTTTCACTGAGAAACTTCCCGAGTGCACACTATTTGAAGAAACATTGATAGCCCTGTTGGTTTCGCTGCGTATGACAGGAAAACATTCTTGCCACTGGAAGTGCATGCGTGCTTACAAATAACATTTTACACCAGAGAGAGACAGGAGGTAGCGAGCTGCTTCACTGCGTTTATCTTCTTAGGAGGGTGACTTGCTTTTTTCCTTTGTTTGCCTGTTAATTCAGAGTTATAGAGATCGCAGCCTGCCACTCCGCTCACACGTCAGCTGCCAAGACCCAGAGCGGCCAGGTGTACATGTGGGGCCAGTGCCGTGGGCAGTCGGTGATCCTCCCCCACCTCACTCACTTTGCCTGCACTGACGACGTCTTTGCTTGCTTCGCCACCCCTGCCGTCATGTGGCGTCTCCTGTCAGTAGGTGCGCTTAAATATTTCTTGTTTTGACATTTTCTAAATAGAATCATTAGCACATAAAACAGCTGCATGTGTTTGAAGCCTAAACTTAGTTGATTGCAAAAATTTATACTGGGAAGCGTAATCATGTATTACATATGTGTAAATGGTAATATGGAATGGTAAAAAAATTGCTAAGGCCTGATGGCAGAGCTAAATGATTGTCTGTTTTATTGATGTGATTTATTTCTGTGGGGAAATGCCTTGGGTTTGGGGAGGAGTTTTTTTTTGTGTAACCACTGAATGTTACTGTACAGTGGCCAAGGCTGGAGAAGCTGAGTTTAAATTTGGAGACTTGAGGGAGCCATGCAGAACATTAGGAGCTCTGAAGCTTTCTTTGATGTTCCCCAGGTAGACTTCTAGGAATGAGGGAGCCAAATTCCCATTTTCAGAACTGGCCACAGGCACTCACATGATTATGACCTGGGCTTCTGAAAAGCCAGGTTTGCTGGATCTCAAATATGTGATTAACGTTAAGTTCTGTCATGTTGGCCTTGACTAGAAAGAGTTAAACATACAGCATTGTCTAACAGAGAGCTACAAATTCAGTTCCATACTGGTCGCTAATAAAGTTACTGGCTTGGCTGATGTGATCAAAGATGAGACTCTTGGGGTTGTCTGTAGGTGTCACCTGGGAGCTTAAGCTGAAAGCTGAAATCCTGGAATGTAGTTTCAACTGTACTGTGTCCATCATGCTTCCATTCCACTTCTGTACCGCCTTTGTAATTGCATTTCTGCTGCTGTATGCTTTTGTCTGACAGCTGTAGAGCGCTCTTTGCTCCCGGGGTGCCTTCTGGATGCCAAGGTGAAGAAATTCCGTTAACATACTTGTATTTCAGCTTTGAAAGATTGGAGGATTAAATGGAGAATCCTGCTGTCAGGAAACTGCTTTGCCAAAATTCATTTTCTAGGGCACAGTCCAAAGACCCCATTTGCTCTAGGTTGGGGCAGTTGTGCTTTCTAGGGTGGCTTGCTCAGAACTGTAAGATGTATGCTTAGTTGCAGTGGAAATTTTTAATATTCCTAATATTTTCCTACTACTAATTAGATGTAAATTGTGTTGCTGCCCTAAAATCCCAGGCAATGGGGTAGTTCAGTCCATGTAAACGTGTTTGTCAGTTGGAAATTCTACATAAAAGTATCTGTAGTATGTTCAATTTTTTTCTTCCATAAGAACTGGTTATTTTATGAAGGAAACGGGGTATTATTAGTATATGTAGCTTAACCATGAACTCAGCTATAATGTATCTTCTTAGGCACATTAGCAGGGTTCTGGGGCTCCATTTCTTCTTGCCCAGTTAAAACGCTATTTTGCGCTATCAGGGTTTCCATCTGCTTTTTCTCTTGCCTTTTTTCCTCAGTTTAGTGCAGAGTATTGAGGAATTTTTCAGGGGCGTTTGGAGGAAGGCAAGAAGCAAAACCTGTGTCTTCCCTTATTTCGCTCCTCTCAGCTGCTTGAGTGAGACTAACACTGCCTGTTAGAGTTTTTCACTGCTCCTCTCTGCCCATTCACCTTTACGTATCTTCTTTTTCAAATGCTGGTTTAGGTCAGAAGTGCTGGTTTAGGTCAGCTACAAGAGTTCTAAGTGGGATTATATATGATCATTCAGGTAGTTATCACCTTTATGCTGAAGACTTCCAAGTAACCATTTTCTTTATAAGCATATTGCTTAATATTCAGATATTTACTCCTTTTAACACTTCATGGTTAAGACTATAGTCGTAACTATTTCCCAACACATCTGTTATCCCCCCCTTCACTGTCACTGTGAACAAACCCCCAGCCTCCTTGCGCTGCTTCACACCTTGGGAATCATTGTTGACTAAAATGTGTATTCGGGTAGTCTGAGCTGGGTTCCTTGTAATGACACTGGATGAAGGATGCTGGCTATCAGGCCCTCATCATGTCTCCTGGATTCCTTTTAGTTAGGTGACAGCGTAGTGGCTTCGGATGTGCCTTTTTGCACGCTCTAGGAGCTGAGGTCTAGGTCTCTCCATCGTGTCCCACCTTGGCGAGTTGCCAGAACTGACTCACTGTTGTTTGTGTCCTGATCCAAGTGTGGTGAGAATCATCGGGCAGCTGCATCCTGGGATCTGAACATCTGCTGAACTAGGTGCCGGGGACATCTACCACGCTGACAGCCCTTCTCTGTTTGTTGTATTCCGGTGCTTCCACACCCCGGCATTCCCAGTCATTCAGTTCTAACATTTCATAGAACCGTGGAATGGTTCGGGTTGGAAGGGACCTTAAAGACCATCATCTTTACTAGCCATAAAGAGATGCTGTATCTATTAAGAATGTTAATTGCTGACAGATACGCATGATGTTGCCATGAGAGATACTTGTATTACTTGCCACTTACTACTAATTGCTGTTTTTATTCTAGAGCCTGACGACCATCTAACAGTAGCCCAGTCACTAAAGAAGGAATTTGACAACCCTGAAACTGCAGACCTGAAGTTTCTAGTGGATGGAAAATACATCCATGTTCATAAAGTTCTTCTCAAAATTAGGTAAGGCACAGACTGGGTAGTTTAATATAAACTGACCTGTATAGCGTAGTCCACCCTGCTGAGTAATTACTACTGCTCAAAATTCTTGATTTATGCTTACAAACTCCCTTCTCCCTCAGCCAGGCGATTCACCTGCTATTCCTCATTGTTACTCTCTCTGCCTTATTTCCTCGATGCTTGGAATTGCCATATATGCTGCTTACTACCAGCCCTTTTGTCATTTTCCTCCATTTGAAGTGTGTCCTCCTTCCTGCCACCTGAACAGCCTTGACCCTGATTTCTAATAGCCTCTTTCTGCTGAGGAAAAGGCTTGCTTCTTTTACCTGCCTTCCCAGTACTGTGAATCAGTTTTTCCTCTTTTCTGTGCTGGGCTTCCTCCACGGGGATGATTTGAGGGGTTTGTGTTTACTCTTGCCTTGATCTCTTTCCTTCCACAGGACCCTTCAGTTGTTTCAGCAACTTCTGTAGATGCTCTTCAGATTTTTCTTGTTGTGCCAGATTTCTTAACCTACTTGTTTTAAACCTTCCTATGAGTGAATTTGAATTTTAAGCTGACTTCTCTTTCTCTTCTTACAGCTTTTGCAAGTTAACATCACATTACAGTGAGATTTGGCATATGCAGATCTGTAATGACATTGTAATTAACATGTGGACATTAGTTTGTTATTGCTGACATGGTTTCTGCTAGGATATTCTTGAGACACCACTTTAGCTCTCTTCTCTCCTGCCAACTGCTTCTGCTCCATCCTTTTCATGGTTACAATAGTTTCCCTCTTTGCTATTTTCTTTCTCAAAATGTTTGGCTATCTCATCCTGCTTTTTACCACCTTCATCTTCCCACTTTTGCTTCTGAGTCCTGTTAGTGATTTCTTGTATGGTACTGCATAAAATTCAACTTCCTTGTTAATTCTTGCCTGCCCCTTTCTTTTGGTCTTTTCTGCTCTCCTCTTACTACCCCAATTACCTGTATTACTCTTTTCTTCCCTTTACGGTTTTCATTACTTGTGCATTACACTCGTGCCTACAGTCCGTCCTCTTTTTTTGGGATACTACATCTTCCTCAGACACCACTTCAGATCTTGTGTATCCCCAAAATGTTTCTGAGGTTCTTTTTCCTGATAATCAGACTGTGTGTTAACTTTTCCTTATGTCTTTCCCCTTGCTCTACTTTTCTCGGATTATGAGAAGGAAACGTGTCAAATTCTAAAATGGATATAAATGTGTGGCGTTATCAAAATAATAAGCAAGAACAATAAAGCATCAGGCACAATCTGTAGCATTAATATTTTCTTTAAGCCTTGAAGTCTCATGATGCCAGTGGATCAGAGGCTATTTAACATGGTAATTTGCAGCATTCAGCCTGTTCCAGAGTGTTGTCATGAATGTGGTGCTGGTAAAAGTTCCCTTTCATTATCCAGTCGTTTCTTTACTACTTCTGAAGGCTTTTTTCCATCTTGTTCTATGCCTGCTGTCGAACCGGCTCATGTTGGTGGTTATTAGCTTGCGAGGGTGGTGGAATGGCAGGGCAGCGCCGAGCTCAGCGAGAGGCTGGCCAAGCAACACACGGCCTGCAGGAAGAGATACGTATGAGTGTGTGGGAGAGATCTGTCTGCTCTGCATTTAGCCAGCCAAAATTAGGTGTCTGGTCTGTCTCCGCTGACAGATAGCGGGAGAGAGGCACTCCAAAGGATGAGTCACTCCAAGGTACTTTGCAGGCTGAAGGATGGGTACCAGCTAGTTTTTATTTATTGACTTCTTTTTAAGGGAGCAGTATGCACCACCTACTCTCTGACTTTTGACTTCCGTGTGGCGCCACTGGGCCAAACATTCCCAGGGTCTTTTCCATAGCTGGATGGATAGCAAGGTCACCACCACTTAACATGAGAGTCCGGGAAACAAAGCAATGGGGTCAGTCTGCCTCTTCCAATGCCATAGTGTGGTACAAGATGTGGCAGAAGCTACATAATAACTTTTTAATCCTTTATGAATTTGACTTGGTGTTTATATATTTTATTTAAAAAAAAATAGTAAGAGAAAAAAAAAACCAGTAAAATGAAATGTGAAAACGTAAATCAAGTGATAAAATAAATAATCCTTTTTCATTTTTATCTCAGTGATGCTGTCCTTATGATGCAGACTTGTCCCAGCATCGTTAAAAGGAAACAAACCCACTTTTTACATAAAGGTTTTAGGAAAAGAAAAGCAAATTCCAGTGTGGGAGTCTTAGAAAGTAAGTAGTGTAGTATGAGAGAGTCCAATTAAATTGTGGCTGTTACAGGAAAAGTTACCTGAGGTGGTGGTGATCATTTCCGTCAGCCAGAATTTTGAAAACAAGACAAATGTTAAAGGATGTTTTTTAAGGAGGGGTAGGTTACAGTGTAAGTTATTGTGACCTCTAAGTTGCAGAATACAGCTGTCAAAGGTAATGCTTGCAGTCCTTGTTTGTATCTTCTCTGTCACAGTATTCAGACTTACAAGAAAAAGGTGATAAAAGATCTGTGTGGGAGTGTCTTTAAATATTTTAATCCTTGATTATAATGATTAAATCCAACGCTGAATTGTCTATGGACTCTGACACCAGAATAAATGTTATCTAAAATTTTAATAGAATCATAGAATGGTTTGGGTTGGAAGGGACCTTAAAGCCCATCTAGTTCCAACCCCCCTGCCATAGGCAGGGACACCTTCCACTAGACCAGGTTGCTCAAAGCCTCATCCAGCCTGGCCTTGAACACTTCCAGGGATGGGGCATCCACAGCTTCTCTGGGCAACCTGTTCCAGTGCCTCACCACCCTCTCTGGGAAGAACTTCTTCCTGATATCTAATCTAAACCTCCCCACTTTCAATTTAAACCCGTTACCCCTTGTCCTGTCACTACAGGCCCTTGTAAAAAGTCCCCCCCAGCTTCCTTGTAGCCCCTTCAGGCACTGGAAGGTGCTATAAGGCCTCCCCGGAGCCTTCTCTTCTCCCGGCTGAACAAGCCCAACTCTCTCAGCCTGTCCCCATAGCAGAGGTGCTCCAGCCCTCTGAGCATCTTCGTGGCCTCCTCTGGACTCGCTCCAAGTGGTCAATATCCTTCTGATGTTGAGGGCTCCACAGCTGGATGCAGCACTCCAGGTGGGGTCTCACAAGAGCAGAGTAGAGGGGCAGAATCCCCACCCTCGACCTGCTGGCCACACTTTCATGGTTAATATATAACTTATTTAGGAAAATTACATCGAAAACACATGGACCATCCTTAAAGACACTGTAAGTAGAAATAGAGCCTGCTAGAAAATATTAATAACAGAAATAAAGAGAAATTCTGAATTATATATATTAGGCTTATAAGCCTTTATAAGGCTTAAAGAAATGAATATGTTCTAACCAAGAAATCATGTTGCTTGTTTGTGTATTTAGTCTGTTGTGACTATTTTTTTTAACCAACTTCTTGCTGCAACTCATCTTTCAAGCTTAACTCTTTACAGCATACAGTCTTTGTCCATGTTTTGTAGGTGTGAACATTTTCGTTCCATACTGAATAATGATGATGAAATCATAGAAATGAGTGAATTTTCTTACCCTGTTTACCGAGCCTTCCTGGAATACCTGTACACAGACGACATCAGGCTCCCTCCTGAAGATGCAATAGGTATTTGCCATGAATGGAAAAACGGTACCTCTTAGGTTACTGTTCCTGAAGAGTTCAGTTTGTGTGTCATAACGGGGTGAGGAAAGCAGGGCTCGTTAATTGTAGTGTTACTAGCACTTAAGTCCTGAATTTGCCAGGTGTTGGGAAGAAGGGATGCGGCAGCAGGGAACGTGCCCAGGGAGAATGAGCGGTGGGGATGCAGTGAGATCAAAGATGCAAAATGTTAAAAAAGAACTATTTGTTTCTCATATTTATAACTTGGGGATTTTTTTCCTTAAAAAGGCAGTAATGCCATCCAAAAAAATCTTTGTTGGAGTAGCTGGGGCGATTTGATCATGAATGAAAAGGGAGCTGGTCCCCACATGAATTTAAGAGGGGATCTCCACTAATTGATGCCTGGAGTGAGATGCAATACCATGAACAAGATGACAGAACACTTGCATGGTATGAAAGGGTCCCTTTTTGATATGTCACTGTGGACCTTTAAAAGTGCACGCATCACCTAGGGAAAAAACCAGAACAAGTCTTTGATTAATTCAGCCTAAATCAATAGGTTAATTGATTAATTTGAAAAGAAATTCCTATCTTTTTGCAGCAGGATAGTTAAAGCTGTATGAATTTTCACAGGACTGCTAGATTTGGCAACACTGTATAGAGAAAACAGACTGAAAAAGCTTTGCCAGCAAACGATCAAACAAGGCATTTGTGAAGAGAATGCCATTGCTCTTCTTTCCGCCGCTGTCAAGTACGAAGCTCAGGTAAGGACAACTTCTCTTCAGGCAAACGGTTGTTTTCTGAGAAATTAAACTGGTTAAGATAAACATAACTGAGGCGTGATTACTGCAATTTCCTTTGCTGGTTTCCCAGACGTTAGATTTTCCCCTTTTTAAGCTATAAAAAAACGCAGCTACTAGTGTTTTCTTCCTGGCCTTTTGGCTTGCACCTGTGAGTCAGGATTCTTAATCCGCTTCCCGTGTCCTGTCATCTGGCACTGCACGGCGTAGCATGCAAACCTCTCACTGCTGTTCACTTCTCCACCTTTGGGTTTTGCATTGCCTGTTCACCTCCTGAGTTCTCCCCTTTGTCTGCTGGTGGCTGGTACGGTCATTCCGGCACCGCCTTTTACAGGCAGCGGGAGAATTCACCTGTAAAGTCCCTTCCTATTTACACTTGTGCTTATATCAGAAATCCATTTTTTACCATGTTGTTTACAACGAATCATGCTGACATACAACAAATTACCTATTGTTATTCCTCTCCCCACATCCTGTCCTCTTGTCTGCCCTTGGCTCTGGAATGTTTCACTACCACTCAAGCTCTTATCAGCAGTACTGCAACTGCTTTTTTTGTAAACAGACAAATGCTTTCAAAGGCGTTTATTTTCTCACCTTGTTAGGCTACACTGACTGTGGAAATAGTGATGCGGTGGCTTTTATTATTCAAGGAGTCTGCGTATATATTTTAGACTTGGTGGCTGTTGTTATAACCGAGCGTCTTAGTTGAGAAGCCCTGGTCTTTCTGTTCAAGACCTCTTTTGCTTAACAGGAATAAAATTGCTGTAGCCAAACAGAAGATTACATATTACAAAAGCCAAAATATGTAGCTGGTAACAATGTGGGGTTTTTTTAAATCCTTGTCTTGTTGCTTTTGCCTGGCTGTGAAATGCAGGATGAAGTTTTAAAGGGGGAGGGGCTAAAAGTGTAAGATGATGGATTGATAAACAGTTCCGGGTATAGGGAGCAAGTAGAAAGCAGGGCCTGAAACAAAAAGAGAGTTAAAAATGTTGCAGCAGGCCGTGCTGTATGCAGGCAGCATCCTAGATGAGATGGATTTGCGTAGGAGTTGCAAAGAGGAGGCCGGATGTTTTTGTCAGTCAAAAGAGGGGATGATGACATCAGATGGGTGGGTAATAAGATTATCGGCTCCCGGTCACAAAGCAGTTGTATCCACGGTGTCAGTAAGGGAAGGTAGGAACAGCTGAAGCAAAGAGGAGTTGTGCTTGCCATGAGTTGTGGTGGTAGAAACCCAGCGTATCAGGACAGGAAGGGAGGAGCCAATGGTTAGATTCTCCTAACAGCAGAAGTTTTCATGAAAAGTTCACTCTGGATTTTCTCCTCTCACAAGCTTTCCAAGAGTTTTAAACGTCTCCAAAGTACCTTTAGTTGACCTGTGTCAGGTGACGTAGTTAAAGGTACATTTGGGTGTATTGTGAAGCAGTAAAACTAGCCTGGACAAAGTACTAGAGTTTGTGGTGGCGGAAGCACAATAAAAGGGATTGGCCTGATGACTAAATATATATGTTACCCTCTTCTTCCGTCTGTGATTTAGTGTTTTCCACTTATACCTCGTATTCTTTCAAAACACCTAATATTTTAACACCACCATCAGGTGATGAAGTGGTTCAACTGCCCTGGGTGCAGCATGTGACAAACTCAGGAGTGCATTGTCACCCTCCTCCCTCCCTCCTTCCCTCCCTCCCTCTCCAGCTCAGAAAGGGATACAGTAGAACTGCTTCAGAGAAGTGCAGCAAAGACTTCTGTATCAAAGGCGTGGGATAACGAGGTAATCGTTACCCTACTAATGAAGTAAACGGGGATCTTTTAGAATACTACATGAATATAGTCAAAATTGGTTTGAGAACCACGTGCGGTGTATCAGCACTTCAGTAGAAAACTGTCCAACGAAGGATTATGAGAGAGGTCTCATATTTTCAAAGTTTGAAATGAGAGAAATTAATTCTGTGGCTGGGGTTTTTTTGTCATTAAATGTAGAACACTTCAAGAAAAAGATTATAGTGCTGTGTCATCTGCCATTAACTTATCAAATTAACTGATGACTGATTTGGCTACTGTATGCATCTGTTAGGACTGAAAATGCTTGAAAATATTTTGTCCTTTCCTCAGAAAATAGTTTCCTCTACAAATGATTTTAAAGCTTATTTGATTTTAAAGCATATTTCTAATATACACTGTAGGAAATATTAATCATCTTCCATATAACACAATTAAAAGCTGGTATTTCTTGAAACTGCAAAATCAGTGACCAGGATTCTGTGGTACCTGTGCTGCTCTTCATAGATCAGTGGCCAGAAAAGGTGACGGCTCTTCTTTGTATTTCATGGAACAGTTTGCACACTGACTGCAAAGCCACCCCGCTTCTGGCAGTGACATTTCTTAAGCTGGCAGTGTCTTTGATCTTCTAAACTTTTAATTTTTCCTATATTTTTTTTTAATTTCTTCTTCTATTCTCATTCCTTTTCTTGCTTTTCCAGCACTTTTTGAGAGATAAAATTTACTTTTGTGCATTGTTTCTACCTTACTTCTTTTTAAATAATATTTGAAGCTGCATGGCCTCTCACAGATTCACAGAGTGGTAGGGGTTGGAAAGGACCTCTAGAGATCATCTAGTCCAACCCCCTGCCAGAGCAGGATCCCCTAGAGTAGATCACACAGGAACAAGTCCAGCAGCTTTGGAAAGTCTCCAGGGAAGGAGACCCCACCACCTCTCTGAGCAGCCTGTTCAGTGCTCTGTCACCCTCACAGGGAAGAAGTGTTTCCTCATGGCCAGGTTGAACCTTCTGTTCTCCAGTTTATGGCCATTGCCCCCAGTCCTGTCACTGGACACCACTGAGAGGAGCCTGGCCCCACCTTCCTGACACCCACCCTTTAGATACTGATAAGCATTGATAAGATCCCCC